CTTTTATGGCCAGGCCAGAGCCCCAGCTGGCGTTGGCAGCTGCTGGTTACCAGCTCCCCCCAGTCCCTGCTGTGCTGCTCCTTCTGCGAATTGCCCTGCCCTGCTCTCTGGGCAAAAGCCCCTTCTCCACCCTCATGGCAGATCCACGCTGCTGGAGAGAGCCTTGTAGCACCCACCGTGCCACTGCTGTGCGGGACCCTTGCCCCAGTTGAGCCCCTGAGCCTCTGGCCTGGCCCAGGGGAGTATAAGGCAGTGGGACAGAGCCAATAGCAAGACAGGCAGGTGCCAATGCAAAGAGCCACCTGCTTGTGTGTGTGTGTGTGTGTGTGTGTGTGTGTGTGTATACACAGATGAGGGGGACAGAGCATAACTAAACAATCACTAAGTGCAAAATTGGGGTGTGGCTTTGTGGTAGAGCAACTGCTTCATATGTGTCAGGCCCTGTGTTTAATCCCCAGCACGAAAAATAAAAATAATCAGAGAGGGGGCCAGGCATGGTGGTGCATACCTGAAATCTCAGCATTCAGGAGGCTGAAGCAGGAGGATCGCCAGGAGTTCAAGGCTAGCCTGAGTTACATAGTGAGTTCAAGACAGGCCTGAACTACACAGTGATAGCCTGTCTTGAAGTAAAAATAAAAGGGCTGGGGATGTAGCTCAGTGTGAAGGCCCTGGGTTCAATCACTAGTGCTGCAAAAGGAAAGAATATGGAAGTGTCAAAGACCGAGATCATTTGAAACAAAGGCAGTAAAGTAAATGGGCACTGCAGAGGTTGCTGGGACGGGAGGCCTCTTCTGCATCTGAGGAGTTTCTCAGGGTGGCACCAAGCCGGGAGGGGGATGGTACAAGCTGGCCAGGCGTGGAGAAGCTGGGCCAGAGAGAGCAGGGCAGCAAGAACAGCATGTGCAGAGGCCCTGGGCAGGAAGAGCGAGTCACAGCAGGGTGTGGGCCAGGAGGTCAGGGAGGAGGTACAGGGTCTGCGGGACCAGGTTCCATGCAGGTCCACAATACCATCCTTTCCTTCTTTCCTTTCTTTTCTAGTGCTGGGGATCAGGTAAACCCAGCCTTTTTTTTTTTTTCTTCCTTTTTTTGGGTCCAGGTCTCACTATGTAGCCCAGGCTGGCCTTGAACTCACGGTGATCCTCCTGCCTCAGCCTCTTGAGTGCTGAGATGACAAGCATGCTCCCCTTTGTCCGGTGTTTGCTGTTTTTTGAATTGGTGATGATAGCAGCTGTGACTCTTGAAAAACTGGAGAAGCCTATAGGGCAGCGCTGTGCCAGCAGAAGGCAAGGAGTGAGACAGGTCAGACCCTTGGGCCGGAGCCTGCGGATTTCTAGGCTCCTCTATTATTTTTATTTTATTTATGAACATAATTACTTATTTATTTGGCAGTACTGGGGATTGGACTCTGGGTCTCACACTGAGCCACATCCCCAGCCCTTTTTTTTTTTTTTTTTGAGACAAGGCCTTGCCCAGGTTGGTCTTGAGCATGCAGTCCTCTTGCCTCAGCATCCTGAGTGCAGCTCTTTTAAAAAGGGACATTTGTATGGGCCTTTAGGTGATTTAGTGCCTGCAGGAACCGGCCAAGCATGGAGACATCCAACGTAGGACTACACTCGAGTTGTCTTAGCGCTTGCAGGACGTTTTAGTATTTATTTACTTTTCCGAGTACATTTGCTATACACAGTAATTCTATTTGTCCTGGGGGCATTGGTGCTTATACACATCACAGTCATCACAGGGTGCGTGAAACAGCTGTCTGTGTTGGTAATAAAAATGTACCTGGAAAAACAATGAAGCTTCAGTAAATGAGCAAAACATTCAGCAGATGAGTTTCAGGGAGCTGGGGGAGCACTGCAGATCCAGAGGAGCAGAGGTTCAGAGCCAGGTAATGGCACCCACGCCAGGGAAGCTGCAGGGAGATGCGGGGTTGGTGAGAAACAGGACTGAGAAGCCAGGTGGTCTTGGGTGCTTACTTTTCCAGGTTAGGAGGACACACCTGGAAGCTCCAGTGCAGCCCGAGGGTTAGCAGAACTACTCTACGGGGAAATCAGTGCAGTCCTAAGCAGCAGACAGCAATGCTTGTTTATGTGTGTGCTTACTCAAGATTTTGTTTTTTAAGTGCAGAATATATCTATTGAGGGAAAGAAAGCTTCTGTTCAAGAGAGGCACAGAAGGGGGCCTAGTGGGTTGCCCAAGACTCTGTCTTCCAGATTTCTTTAAAACCATCCTGCATATTTTGCAAAATAAATGCTTTCTATTTAGCTGCCTCACTAAAAAAGCTAGTTTTAGGTGGACATGGTGATACACACCTGTAAAGCCAGCACTCTGGGAGGCTGAGGCAGGAGGATCATTAGTTCAATCCCAGTCTGGGCAATTTAGTAACCTAGTGAGACTTTGTCTCAAAATAAAACATAAAAAAAGGGCTGGGGATGCAGCTCGGTGAAGACCCTGGGTTCACTCCTCAGTACACACCTGCACACAGAGTCATAACAACAATAACCTCTCAGGCTGGAACTCTTTACCCCACCCCACACTAATGGAACATAGCAAGTTTCTCAAAGTGACTCATCATAGTTTTGTATTTACAGACCTTGGAGATGTTGATTAGTTTAACGGGAAAATGGCAATCTCAGCCCTTGTACACGGCAAGTATGTTTGACTTATGATGTTTATTATCAAAGATAAAAGTGATGCTATGAAAACAAACCTGAAAATCAAATCGTAAAAAACCAACTGCAACTAACTAGCGGCTGGCTCTGGCTCCAGTGAGGGTGTGGAGTGACTGCTAATGGGGTTTCTTTTTGGGATAATGAAAATGCTCCAAAAGTGTCTGTGGTGATGGTTACACAATACTGAGGACACTAAAGCTAATAGAGGGCTGGGGGTACAGCTCGGCAGCACAGCACTGCCTGGCAAGTGCAAGGTCCTGAGTTCGATTCTTGGTACCCCAAAAAAATTCCTAGTACAGCATAAATAAGTTGTACAATATAATAACTTTTTTTGGTACCAGGAATCGAACTCAGGACCTTGCACTTGCCGGGCAGTGCTGTGCTGCTGAGCTATATCCCTGGCTGTACTAGGAACTTATCTGTGGGCCTTCATGCTGAAATACCCAATTTATAAAAAATTTTTGACAGGATCTTGCTATGCACCCAAGTTGGGGATGAACTTGCAACCCTCCTGCTTCAGTCTTCCAGAGTGCTAGGATTACAGGCGTGTACCACCATGCTCAGCTGCTTTTATTTCCCTTAACAGATGAATATCAAGCGTAGACCAAAATCATACTTTATTTTTATTTTCTCTTTTTGAGACAGAATCTTGCTGTGCAGTTTAGGCCGACCGTGAGTTCACTTTGTAGCCCAGGCTGGTCTCGAACTCGCAATGATCCTCCTGCCTCAGCCTCCCCAGTGCGGGGATTACAGGCGTGCGCCACCACGCCTGGCCAAAACCATACTTTAAGAAGTCAGTTTTTAAGAGCGCTTCTTTCTAAGGCAAGGTTACAGACACGTGGCAGAATGATAACAATATACTTCCCAGCCTGGCGGGTGGTGCACGCCTGTAATCACAGCATTCTGGGAGACTGAGGCAGGAAGATCTCAAATTCTAGCCCAGCCAGCGCAACTCAAACTTCGAGAGGTTCTTTCAAAATAAACAAAGGCTGAGAGCGTAGCTGACTACGAAGCTACTGTCATCAATCCTCATTACAAAAAAACAAAACACCTTTTCCTCAGAATTCTCACTGGGCCCCGCCCCCTTCGTTCCCCGGGTTCACTCACTGACCCGCCCGCCTCTGACCGGGAGAACAACATCTCAGCCTGAGCAACTACCCGAAAGCCACTCCCTGCTGCTCGGGATGCTGAAAAAAGGGCAGCTGGCTCTGATCTTGGCAACACCACAATCGCGGACAGCCGCCACCGCTCAGCCTGACTTCCCCCTTCTCCCCGTCGCTCCCCTCCCAACAATCCGCTTTCTCCTCTTCCGGGAACGCGGGCGACTTCCGGCGCCCGGAAGCGTGTCATCAACGTACCGGAAGTGTGCGCGTCATCACCCGGCACCAGTCGCGCACGCGTGTGTCCCTGGGCGTCGGATGCTGGCTCGCAGAGGTGGGACGGGCGCTGCTGTTGCGAGCGGGGTCGCCTCTTCTTGGCTCCACCATGCAGGTCTCCAGCCTCAACGAGGTGAAGATTTACAGTCTCAGCTGCGGCAAGTCCCTTCCCGAGGTGAGCCTGTGTTCTGGGTCCCTGCGCTTGGAAGTCCTTGGGGTCCTCCTCGCGAGTTCGCCTCCCCGCGCCCCGACCCCAGCTCCGGCTCTGTTTTGGGGACTTCAGCCGCCTCCAGCTCCGCAAGGCGCAGGGGTGAGCGATGCCGCGACGGAGGTCTGGTCTCCCTCGTGGTTGAGAACGCGGCCCGGGCCGGGTGCTCACGGCCGCGGCCACGCGGAGGAGAGCCGGGCCGCGATGGGTGGCAGACAGCTCGTCCTGACGCCCTCCACGTTCTAATGCTCGCTCAGCAGCTGCTAGCCGAAAGGTCCAGTCGCAGGGCTACAGCCGCGAACAGCAGCCATGCGGACTTGCACCAGCAACTGTAGACGATCGGTGTAGACGGTGAGAGTTTCGAACCTTGTGTACGAAACTTGACTTCTAGTCTTAGAGCATCGAGGTTGGAAGGAGCTGGGACAGATCGGCGGTTCTCTTCCAGTCTTCTCATATTTACCATTTTATTATCGTCCTGTGCCGCGGATGGAACCCGAGGAGGCCTCGCACATGCTAGGCAAACACTCCAGCATGGAGTCCCGGTTCTGATCTCTTCTGTAAAACCTGCAGCTAAAGCCGGGCGTGGTAGCGCATGCCTGTAATCCCAGCACTTGGGAGGCTGAGGCAGGAAGATCGTTGCGAGTTCAAGACCAGCCTGGACTGTGTAGTGAGATCAAGACCAGCCTGAACTGCGTAGTGAGACCCTGTCTCAAAAAAAAAAAAAAAAAAAAAAAAAAAAAAAAAAAAAAAAAAAAAAGAAAAAGAAAAAAGAAAAAAACCACCTGCAGCTAAGATCCAGCAAGGGGAAGAGTGACTGATCAGGGATCATGGCTTACGCCCTGACGTTTGGTTTATTTCTTAAAAGTGGTGATCAAGTCTCTGTCCGAGCATTTGAAGCAAGAGGCAACCTTTGGTGGAAGCTCATTGCCTTTTTGAAATCCTGCACTTGTTAGGAAGTGTTATCAGAACAGCCCCTGCTGGCCTCAGTCTGGCCCTTAGAAAGCAGAGCAAACATAACTGTTCTTTCCTGCCTCTGTCCCCTGAAACATTTGAAGCCAGTGAGGAGATTCTTCCTTCTCAAAATTCAGGTTTAAATAATTCCTTGTCTTCCAATAATTCGTCACACATGTGATCTTTATCATTTTATTTTGTTCATTTACTACTATATGCTCTTTGTTTTTTGGCAGTACTAGGGAATGAAACCAAGGCCTTTGCACTGAGCTGTACCCCCAGTCCTTTTTTAAAAGTTTTTGAGACAGATTCTTGCTAAATTGCTAAGCAACTCAGACCAGAATTGAATTTGAGATCCTCCTGCCTCAGTCTCCCAAAGTGCTGGGATTACAGTGTGCTCCACCAAGTTGGGCAAGGCAGCTGTTTGAAACGTTAAGGTTCATGGTGAACGTGTCAGATGATGTTTCCTGTTGGAGAAAAGGGTATAAAACAAGTGAGCAAATGAAAAGATAATGCCAGATGATGAGCACTGAGTGACTAGTGAGAGCTGTTATGGATAAAGTGTCTGTGAAGTTCTCCACCAGAGGCAGCATTGGAGCAGGAAGGGGATGATGGAAGGGAGCCATAGGGGGAAGTTTTCAGCACCAAGGGAAGAGGAGAGTAAGTGTCCCCCCCGAGGGACCGTCCTTGGCATGTAGAAGGACCGGAAGAGGCACAGGCGTGGCTGTGGTGGCTGAGAGGTCAGCTTTGGGGGCCCAGCAGGAAGTCAGGGTTGCACTCTTGCTGCTCCTGGGCTCCAGACTGCTTCAAGGGGACAGGAGGCTGGGGCGGGGGCTGGGGCTGGGGAGGCGGTGTCCGGGGAGGCAGCCGGGCTCCTCAGGAGAGGTCTTGGGCTGGGCTGGGTGCGGTAGTGGGGGCGCGATTGGGAGAGACCTGAGCTGGGGCTGGCGGGATGGTGACGCCATGTGTGGTGGCAGCAGAGAGGACCGCGGGGAAGCGAGGGAAGGAATAGAGGACCCTGCAGTTTTGAGTCTGAACGGCTGTGTGTGGAGCAAGGGAAGGATGGGGGAGGAGGGGCACGGGGTGGGGGAGTACGGCGCCCCTCTTTTGTTTAGACACTGAGGGCTTGCAGTTCAGATGAGTACCATGTGGGTTGCGGGGGTCACAGTTTTGTGTCTCCAGGCTGGAGGTGGCGGCCAGGGTCATTACCTTGCCTGGGACTAGGGACCCTGGGAGCAGAACTTCCCCCACCCCATTGCTTCTGGAGAATCTCAGCTGACAAGGGCTATGTCACTGTCACCTGTCCGCAATGCGGAACTGAGCAGCCTGCCCAGCTGCAGTACAGGATAAACCCAAGCATCTGTGGACACGACTGTAAAAAGTACCAAATGTTTAACATCTAGTGTTAGCTGTTTATCTGGTTTTACTCTTTATAAAAAATAGATCTTGCTCGTCAGGTGGCGTATGCCTGTAATCCCAGCACTTGGGAGGCTGAGGCAGGAGGATCGCTATGAGTTCAAGGTCAGTTTGTGCTACATAGTGCACTCAAGGCCAGGTTGAATTACATAGTGAGACTGCCACAAAAACAAAACAAAACCGTATCTTAAACTTTCTCCTTTTAATGTTTCTACCTTTAAAATTTTAGTTTAAATCATGAAAGTTGTGCAGTTGCTAGTGAACAGTAAATAGTGCACTTGTTTGGTCTGTGGGTTATGACACATATTTGCAGCCAGTAGCTCTGCCTTAGCTTGTTTCAGTGTATTTGTTTTCTCACATAAAACACAGGGATTCAAGAAACTTCTTGTCAAAGTCTTGTAAGTATGTAAAAGTCCAGAAAATCTGTTAGCAATAGGGTTAGGATGGGAGATACTCACTTTCTATGCTGCGTATTCCTATCAGGTTTGAATTTTCCAACACTCTGTGAGCCCGTGTTACTTTTCTAAACAAAAAAACAATTTAGGTGAATGGTTTACTTTTTATTTCTGGTGAATCTGTTTTAAAATAAATCATTTATTTTCCTTCAGTGGCTTTCAGACAGGAAGAAGAGAGCACTGCAGAAGAAAGATACCAGTGAGTGGAACCCTCCTGCCTCAGCTGCGTCAGTGACCTGCGTCTTCTGCGCTTGCTTGGTGGTAGTGTGGAAGCAAGGGGTTGCAGAAATTTGGTGGGATTAACATGGTTTAAAATAAACATTTTCTTTGTTTCTGTAGTGCTGGAGATTGAACCTGTGTGCTAGGTGTGTTCTTCCCCAAGCAGTGCCCTTATTTTTTATTTTGAGACAGACTCTCCCAAAGTTGCCCAGGCTGGGCTGCAATTTGTAATCCTCTTGCCTTAGCCTCTTAGATAGCTGGGATCACAGGTGTGAACCACCATACCTGGCTTCCATTGCTCATGCCAGCCTAAGGTTTTGAGGCTAAACTTGTTTGTTTGTATTTATTTTTTAGAGATAGAGTCTGGCTGTGTAGTCCAGGTTGGCCTTGAACTATGGAGCCCAGGCTGCCCTTGAGCTCTTGGCAATCCTCCTGCCTCTGCCTCCCAAGTGCTGGGATTATAGGGGTGTGGCACCACGCATGGCAAGCCTGTTGTTATTTAAGAAAAGAAATAAAGATTTTTATTGTAGCTATGATTGAGTAAGGACAGTAGTCTAAGGTAATGTTTCTTCTATTCTCCCAGGAGGTTTTAAATACTCAATTGTTTTGTTTTGTTTTGTTTTTGTCTTTTTGAGACAGGGTCTTGATATGAAGTTTGGACTGGCCTTGAGTTCACTTTGTAGTTCAGGCTGGTCTTGAACTCACCACAGTCCTCCTGCCTCAGCCTCCCAAGTGCTGGGAGTATAGGCGTATAGGCGTGCACCTCCATGCCTGGCCTGAATACTCATTGTATGGATGATACATTGTTTTAGTTTTTTTTCAGTTCACAATGATACCTTTGCTTTTTGTTTTTTGTTTTTTGGTTTTTGGTTTTGGTACTGGGACTTGAACTCACAACCTCATGCTTGCCAGGCAGGTGCTATGCCGCTGAGCTACATCCCCGGCCCTACTTTTGTTTTTTGAAAGGTAGAAGTAAAGTACAATATGTCAGCTTTCCATGACAGTGACAGAATATTTGCCATGATAACCCAGAAAGGGAGAAGATTACTCCTCTCACAGCATTAAGGGTTTCATTCCTGGTCAAGTGGCTGTTGCTTTGGAGCTTGTGTGAGGCAACATCGTGGCCTCATTACCAGTGTCACTTGGTCCCCTCTAGGGGCCTAAGACCTTCCCAGAGACCCTTCTGAGGTCCCACCATGGGCCAGCTGTCAACCCTTTAACACGTGGGCCTTCAGGGACATTGCAGACCTGAAATGCAGCACACAGTGGCGGAGACCAGGGTGGGGCTGAGGGCAGTGCTGCTGTCTGACCAGAGGCCCGCAGGGTCTGTGAGCCTGTGTGTAGCCACTGTGAACAGCAGCCTCCACGCTCCGTGCTCCTCGACAGAGATGCGCTGTGGTGTCCAGCTCACTCCTGCTTTCCTCTCCTTGCAGATGTCCGCAGGAGGATCGAGCTCATTCAGGATTTTGAGATGCCGACTGTCTGCACCACGGTCAAGGTGTCCAAAGACGGGCAGTATGTCCTCGCCACAGGCAAGTATCCCCTTGGCTGCCCTGCACATGCACTTCCTAGCAGAGAGTGCAGCAGTGGCAAAGGTCGCTTTCCCTCACCCTAACAGTATATTTTTATTTATTTATTTATTTTTGGTACAAGGACTCAAACTCAGGCCCTTGCGCTTGCCAGGCAGGTGCTTGTGCCACTGAGCTATACCCCCACCCCTAACGTTTTATTTTTATCTATCTATCTATCTATCTATCTATTTATTAATTTATTTATTTTTGATGATTTTTGAGACAAGGTCTAGTTTAGGCTGGCTTTAAACTCTCTGTGGAACTCAAGCTGGCCTCAAACTCACAGTGACCCTCCTGCCTCAGCCCCTTGTATGCTGGGATTGCAGGCATGCACCACTACACCTGACTCACCGTTGCTGCTCTGATGGACAAAAACTATTTCACTGTTTTAATCTACTCTCGTTAGGTTATTTGTGAAGCTTTTTAGTCACTTGTTATCCATTTTCCCTGCGTCGCTTATCCTTTACTCTTGTGCTGCAGGATGTTTGAGGGGGGCTGCTAGTCGGTGCCTTCCACTGATTAGGATGTGGTCGGTCCTGCCGGCCTCTCGGTGGAAGCCACACTCGCACTCTGTGGGGCCTGACCACGGTGTGTTCTCAGGTTCTGTATTGCGGTCACTTTTTTCTAGGAACATACAAACCTCGGGTTCGCTGTTACGACACCTACCAGTTATCCTTGAAGTTTGAAAGATGCTTAGATTCAGAAGGTAAGAGGCTAATTTTGAAGTCATAATAATAGCTTTTTGTGTTTGTCCACTGTTCTGCTTTTAAAAATGAGATTGGATCGATCATTCATTTTCATTGTCTACAAGTGAGTGGAGACTCCGTGGCTGAGAGCCTCCCCTCAGCGGCTCGCTGTTCTGCGCCCAGAAGTCCCTGACGGCCCAGCCTGTCTGCTCAGGGCAGCCTCAGTGTGGCCAGCTGCGCCTCAGTGAGGATTTGCTGCCAGACTCTTTTCAGGCTATTGGCGGAACTCAGGGTTGCAGCTGTGGGACTGGGGTGGTATCTCATGCTGACTGCTCACTGGGGTCCCTTGACCCATAGAGGCTGCCCACACTTCCTGTCACATGGCCACCTGCCCTGTCAAGCCAGCAGCAGCCTGTTGGATCCTCCTGTTGCTTTAGATCTCCTCGACTTCCACTCTGCTGGCAGTGGGAGAAGACTGCTATGAAGGGGCTCACGTGACAGTAATGTGTTGTCACCACAAGAGAGGTCTCAGCAAGTCCCAGGTTCTCGCTGGGACTGAAGAGGGGAGAAAGTCACTGGGGTAAAGGTCACTGGGGTCATTCTCAAAATTCTGGACAGATGTGCATTCCTGTTGGGGTGGGAAACAGCTGATGCCCACAGTGTAGCGGAGAAGCTGGACCTGGCTCACGGTTTCAGGGGGTGCAGTCCATGGTTGGCAGCTCCAGGGCGGGAGCATCATGGCGGAAGGGCGTGGGGGAGCAAAGCTGCTCGGTTCATGGTGGCTGGGAAGCAGAGCAGGGGAACAGAGGCAGAGAAAAATGGAAGGGACCAGATGGAGACCCCAAAGTGACCCTCCATAACCACACGAGTGTACCTGGGAGTGTGCCCAGCCCATCCCCTGTGTGGCTCCCAAGCTAATCTTTGTGTAATCAACATTTTAAATAATGTTCTTTATATTTGAGTCTTAAAAAAATTTTTTTTGAGACAGGGTCTCGCTATGCAGTTCAGGATGGCCTTGAGCTCACTTGTAGCCCAGCCTGGTCTCACTCATAACAATCCTCCTGCCTCAGCCTCCCAAGTGCTGGGATTATAGCCTTGTGCCACCTTGCCCAGCTGAGTCTTAAAAAATTTGGACCACATTTTTCTTCAGTTCTGTTCTGGATAGTATAGTGCATATTGAAAGACTAGAAATCTTTTTAGTTTTCCTTTTGGTGTTTTGGGGGGCAGTGTAGCAGTTTTGTTCTTGTTTTACATAGGGGTAGAAAAAATGCTGTTTGTATGTAACATTTGTGCTGAATTAGGAACTTTGCATCATTTATGTTTTTTTATTTACATTTTTATTACAAACATAGATAATTGTATTTTTTCCTATTATTTTTCAGTTGTCACCTTTGAAATTTTATCTGATGACTATTCAAAGGTATGTTTGGTAGCATTGGTTTCTCCTGGCTATGTTCAGGAATGAGTAAGTGGAATTTATTTTTAGATGAGAATTTTTGTGTCCATTGTTAAAATAAAAGTGTCTGTGTAGTAATAGATATTAGTTTCTATTAATATACTTTCAGTTTGGTACATGTATGCTCTATAGCAATGGTGGTGATCCAGTTGGCATACTTGTTTTTCTTTGAAGACAAAAGATGTTAATATAGAGTTGTTTATTTCTAAACTAAAACCGCAGTACTCAGGTCTAATTGAGGTATTGGCACTTAGCGATAAGTGAGTGGATTTTGGGTTGCAGTTTGGGCACTTGGTCTCTAAAAGGTTCACCAGCACAGCTGTAGACAGTCTTAAAACAATGCTCATAGATGTTGAGCGTGGTGGTGCACGCCTGTAATCCAGAGCCTTTGGGTGGCTGAGGCCAGAGGATTGCCACAAGTTCAAGGCCAACCTGGGCTAATAGTGAGTTCAAGGCCAACCTGGGTTATGTAGCAAGAACTTGTCTCAAAAAAATAAAACAAGGGGCTGGGGATATAGCTCAGTGGCATAAGTGCCTGCCTGGCAAGCGCAAGGTCCTGAGTTCGATTCCTGGTACCAAAAAATAAAAATAAAACAGAACAAAAATAGCCAAAAGTTGTAGGGATTTTGGTCAGCATAGTATCAAAATTAGTTCTCCAGGGCTGGAGATATAGCTCAGTGGCACAGTGCCTGCCTAGCCAGCCCAAGGTCCTGAGTTTACTTCCCGGTACCAAAATAAAAAACAAAATTAGTTCTCTGCCTTGATGACTGTTCCTCCTATTGCTTTGAGGTCTGGCACTAGGATTTTAAGTCATCATAAATTGAAATTTGATTTTCTTCACTCAGAGAATATTAGGATAATGGGATTATCTGTCTGTTCTCTGAAGTTTGCGGAATCAAACAATTCCATGTACACTTAATAAATTTGCCAATATTTCTGATTTATATTTTTAAACAAGTGATGAAAGAAACATGATGGCTGTAACTGTCAGGGTGGAAGAAAAGGACTACATAAATTAAAGAAAACTAGTTTTAACTTTTTGAACTTACTCTTCAATGAACTAGCAACTTATTCTAACAGTGGTGCATTGTATTACATCAGTAAAACAGTATTGAGTAAGGCAAGATTAGTTACATCTGAAAATTCTAACTTACTGAGAATGGACAGAAATGTACGTGCTTATCTTGGGTAGCTAACTGTTTCCTGTTTCTGAATTCCCTTGCATCCTTGCATTGTAATCTAAGTATTTTCTATTAGTCTCTCAGTAGACAGTAGACATAACACAACTGTTGTTTTCCATAGAAATGTAAAGCCTTTTGAGCTGTCAAATGGTTAAGTGTTCTGATGCAGAGAATGTGGAAAACATAAAATTCAACATATATCTCATTTGTGTGATTATGAAATAAAAAAATAAGTTCTCCACATCTCGTGTGAAACCTAATCTATGTTTTTTAATAACCAGTAGCAGTCATCTTTCTTAGATCTTTTTTTTTTTTTGAGACAGGGGCTCACTATGTAGCCCAGGCTGGCCTCAAATTTGCAGTGATCCTCCTGCTTCAGCCTCCGAAGTGCCAGGATCATAGGTGTGCACCACCACACCCAGTTTAAATTCATGCAGAGCTTATCAGACTATGGGATAACTGCAGGAATATTAAAATGTGATTCTCGTTGAGTCAGGAAAGTCCTGGGCGTGGTCATTGTGCAGGGCTCCGTGTTATAAGATGCCGATGCCCGAGAAATGAGCCGAGTTTGTTTCCTCTCTTCATTTAGAAGGAAGGTGCGCAGGCCGCTGTTAGGACACAGGAGGCCTTAAGGGACCCATGAAGCTCCTAGGCTGCAGGCGTCGGGGCGGAGGAGGAGATGGAGGGGGAGACGGCCCACTCACTAGTTTAGACGGCGAGGCGAGGCGAGGCGAGGCGAGGCGAGGAAATAAACACTTGAAACCTGAGCAAAGCCTTTTTCTTGTTTTATTGCAGATCGTCTTCTTGCACAATGACCGGTACATTGAATTCCACTCACAGTCGGGCTTTTATTACAAAACCAGGATACCCAAATTCGGCAGGGATTTCTCCTACCACTACCCATCCTGTGACCTGTACTTCGTTGGTGCAAGGTATTGGGTCCAGAACTCTGCTTCCTTCTTTCCTCCTCCCAAACAGCTACTTCCTAAATTTCTTGTGCACTTTATTGATTTTCTTGGCCTTGATAAAGTGTGTGTGGTTATTGCAAAACAAAACAAAACAAAAGAACCAGTCTTGGAAAACAACGGATAAACAGCAGCTACAACAAACCCCAGTGTTCTACATGTTAATGCGCTTTGTTTACAAGTGGTTTCACAATGTTTTAACACCAGTTATTCTGCCCACTAAAATATTTTCTAACATTAAAAATCTATATAATAATCCTATGTCATAGTAGTTAAACTTGGGCATGCTAATAGCAAGTAGATAAGCCTGTGACACAGCCCAAATGCCTCACTATGAGATAATAGTGTTTTCTTCCGTTTTACACATTTCTGTTCACTTCTGAAAGGTATAGTTTCTGCTTTAGGTCTATTCGGTATCAGTGATGATTTTTTTTTTGAGAGAGGGTCTTGCTATGTAATCCAGGTTGGCCTCAAACTCACAGTGACCTTCCTGCCTCAGCCTCCCAGCTGCTGGGATTACAGGTGTGTGCCACCACACTGGGCCTCAGTGATGAGTCCCTTTCTGGCTTGTTTGGTAATTAAGGTCCTCTGTAGTTACAGACTGTAGTTAAAGGACATTTGAGCTGGATGCGGGAGGAATGGTGCTGAGACCCTTAAGGCAGCAGTAATGGACCAAGTGGCTGTATCATGACGTTTCATTAAGGAGCCAGTCTGAATTTAACTTAAAAGGTGAATGCTAACATCGCTTCTTAGTGGTCTTACAGCATAGATGCTGATCACTTCTCAGAGTATTTCAGTGGAACTATTTCAAGTAGAATAGGCATGAGGCTCTAATCCCTGCTACTCAGGAGGCTGAAGCAGGAGGTTCACAAATTGAAGCCAGGCTGGGCAATTTAGGAAGACTCTGTCTCAACATAAACACAAAAAAAAACAAAATCCGCTGGGGCTGTAGCTCCATGGTAAAACACACCTGAGTTCTCTCTCAGGACCATGAGAACAAGTAAACAAATGAACAACAACCAAAAATGAAAAAGACATTTGGGAGCAAACAGACCTTCCTGCCCTCAAGTTGTTTCCAGTCGGAGTGCGGGAATGACTTAGGGCTGTGCCCGGCACCTCTGCGAGGAGGAGGGAGGATTGAGAGCAAGTGCGGGGAAATCACTTGCTAGGCCCTGTCGCATGGGATTGCAGGATTGTTCTTAAGTGCTGCCTTTCTGTGAATATAAAAGTTGTGTTGTCGTTTTAGAAAATTGAGGAACTACAGAAAAGTTTGAAAACTGTCCCTGTATGTTATGCCACCCAGAGGAGACCTTTTCAGTATTTCCCATGTTTCCTTTTAGTCTCGGGTGCGTGTCGGATACGCCATGCGTATTTTGGACACCGGTCTTTCAGCAACTTGGAGTATTTTCTTGGTGCCAAGTGATTTAGCTCACCTTTCTGCTTGGCAGATTCCTAAATGAGGTGAATATATTTTAGGTTAGAACAAATTTTTTTTAATCAGTTTTATCAAAGAAGGTGGATTACCAGTGATACATAAAATTCTGAAATTTATATTTACGGCGCTTCTAGGGACTTGAGAATTGGCAGCAGTTTCCCAAGCGTCTGGCTTGCTTTATTATTTTGTAGCTCTGAAGTTTACAGACTCAACCTGGAGCAAGGACGCTACCTGAACCCGCTGCAGACCGACGCTGCGTGAGTGTGGGCGCCGCGTGTGGCCAGCAGGGGGCGCGGGCTGCCCAGGATCCACAGAGCAGAGCTGGGGATGTAGTTCTGCCACAGCAGCCCGGGGTTGCAGCAAATGTGTGAAACCATAAATGCGTCCTTTTTTATCTCCCACCTTTGTATTTAAGAGTATGTGTTTGCAGCCTTGTGGGGAGATGGTGCCTGTGTATAACACTTGTCTAGTCCACATCCCTTCCCTTCCCCTGGAGGTTTTTTAAAGGTTTTTTAGAAGCACAGGTCATGACACAAAAACCAAGTAAACCCTAAAAATATTTCTATTCCACATTGGCCTGCAATGCTCTTATTTAAAAAAAGAAACTTGCAGTGTCATGTAATACATTATCTCGTAACAGAAGTCATCCGCCGTCCCACGGCTTGACTTCCTGTTTGTAGTAACAGCTGGTATTTATGGAGGGGCTTCCTTCCTGGGGACACTACCGCCCACTTGCTGTCTTTTTCATCTAATCCTCTCGCAGTCCAGGAGGTGGGTGAGACTCCCCGCCTTACAGAGGAGAGAGGGAAGAAGGGAGGGCAGCCGGCCTGGCTCAGGGTTGTCGTGGTGATGGCCTGCTTCCTCAGGAATTCGAACTGGCCTGGCTTGATAGAGCAGAATGAGGCATTCTTCTCAAGGTGGGATCATGTTTCAGAAGGCGCTGCTGTGAGCTGATCCCCTGGCAGGTAGCCTGTCACCTGGGATCAGTAACCTGGTGACCGAGCAGACCACTTAACCCTTCAGGTCTCCTGTGCCTCATCTGCAGGTGCCCAGGAGAGCAGTCATGTGCGTCCTGCCCCCTGAATCTGAGTGACTCTGTTGAGACAGTTTGCCAAGCACCGCTTCCTCTCGAGGGGAGATGGCCGCTCACACTTTCTGTGTGTCTGCTCCTCGCGGGGACCGGGAGTGGTGCATGGGCAGAACTCCTCTTCATTCCGCCCGGCCCACCCGCCTGCCCTCTTCCCGCTGACCAGTACTTTCTCCTTGCGCTTTCCTGTTCTAGGGAGAACAATGTCTGCGACATAAATCCTGTGCACGGCTTGTTTGCCACAGGAACAATCGAGGTGAGCGTGTGCTGACTTTGGTTTTTAAAATATTTGTTGCACACGGGGTAAGGCATGGAAGTTTGAAAGGCAGAGTTGCCACCAGCTGTGGCCGCCGTGCGGAGAATCGGCAGAGTCCGTAGCATGGATGAGCCCCACTTTGTGTGGAATGGCCCCATCTGGAAAAGGAACATTAATTTCTAGAAAAGAGTTGCAAACCGTAGAGCAAGGGGACTGTGATAGTAGAGTTTGAGTCTCTCTTGTCCGAAGTGCTCAGGACCAGATGTGTTTCAGCTGAGGTTTCTCCAGATGTGTTGGTGTCTGGGTGCTTACAGTAAGATGTCTTAGGGATGGAACACAGACACAGACACCAAACTTGCTTATGTTTCATAGATGCCTTCCGTGCAAATGTGAGGTTAATTTAGACAGTAGCTTTTAATGGTTTTGTATGTGAAGTATTTCTTTTCTTTTCTTTTCTTTTTTCTTTTTTTTTGTCTTTTTGAGACAGGGTCTCGCTGTGCAGTTCAGGCTGACCTTGAGCTCACTTTGTAGCCCAGGCTGGTCTTGAACTCACAACGATCCTCCTGCCTCAGCCTCCAGAGTGGTAGGATTATAGGCGTGGGCCACTATGCCTGGTGGCTTTTTTCCAATTTGTTGTGAGTGGAATCATTTTCCTGATTTCTTTTGCAGCATTATTAGTGTATGGGAAAGATACTGATTTTTGTGTCATGTTGGATCCTGAGTTATTTTTTCATATGTACTATGTTTTCTCCACTGATCTACTTCAGAGTATTTCAGTCATCAAGAGAGCCTTTCTTTATCTGTTAACATTCTATAAGGGAAACGGGCATGGTAGCACACTCAGAGGCTCAGGCAGGAGGATCCTTGCAAGTTTGAGACCAGCCTGGGCTACAAAGTAAGCTCAAGGCCGGGCTGAACTACAGAGTGGAAACCCGGTCTCAAAAAGACAAACAGACAGATAAATAAATAAATTAAATAAAATAAAGTTGTTGCCAGGTGTGGTGGCACATGCCTGTAGTCATAGCACTCAGGAGGCTGAGGCAAGAGGATCTCTGAGATCAAGGCCAGCCTGGGCTACATAGTGAGCCTCTGTCGTAGTGAATGAATGAATGAATGATTCTTTGTTTGTGTAGGGTCGAGTGGAGTGCTGGGACCCAAGAACCCGGCACAGAGTCGGCCTACTGGACTGCGCCTTAAGCAGTGTCACGGCAGATTCGGAGTAAGTTGGCACTGATTTGTGGTGTAATTTCCGTCAGCTCTCTGATCTGAGCAGATGGACCAACAGGAAGTTAAAAGGACTGGCTGAAGGGTGAAACTTTTAAGACTTAGATCTGAAGTTGTAGCGTCTGGGTTTATGCTATAGAACAATCTTCTCGTGAAAGCCAATTAAGTAGGTGAGCCAGAATTTCTTTCTAAAGTACTATACGTAATGCCCCATTCCACTCCTCCCCTCCCCCTCGCCCTGGCCTTTTTTTCTTTTTAACAAAACCTTGCTATGTGCCCCAGGTTGGCCTTGCACTCCCAGCGATCCTCCTGTCTCGGCCTCCCGAGTGCTGGGATGACAGGCGTGCGACACTGTGCCCAGCTGTGAATGAGGGCTGTTGAGAGATGGACCCAAGCATGCACATGAGCACGTGCAGTTGTTTCCTCCGGAGTGAGGACAGGGATGCTTTTACAGGCCCCTCTTCCCAGCTTAGCTGACAGGGCGACGCCGTGGCCTGCACTTACAGGCGGCGCAGATTTTGAATCTGTTACGCTCCGATAAAAGCTAGGAATGTGCTTTCCCTGCTGGCTGTCGGTGAGGATGAGTGACAGCCTTGTCATCTAGACGAGGCGGCCACCAGCTCACGCGCGGACCTTGCCTTGCAGGGTCAGCAGCCTGCCAACCATCTCTGCCCTGAGGTTCAGCGGCGGCCTGGCCATGGCAGTGGGCACGTCCACGGGGCAGGTACGTGGCCGGGCGGCTGTTGGGGTGCGCAGGGTGCTCCAGACACAGGCCCTGGGTGTGGGAGCGCGCTGTGGGCCGAGCATGCTCTGCTTTCCAGAGCTCCCCCGGTGACGCTGGGCTAGGGGGCTTTCCTGGGGAGCGGGGGCTCTGGCCTGAGGGTAAGGGAGGCAGAGCCACAGGAGCAGGGCTTCCCAGACCCAGGAGAAGACCGAGATGCACTCTAGTGGGTGCCCGACGTGTGGGCTGAGAGCGAGGCTGAGGCCCCGGCCCCTCCCCAGCGGGCAGTCTTACTGCTGCCTCCTGGAGTCTGCCGGGGACCGTTCCTTCCAGTGCAGCCGCGTGACAGATGGAGACTGGGCTGGGGCACATGCAGAGCCGGCGGGGGGGTGGGGGGCGGCGGCTGCTGCCCGGACTCCATCCCCACACTACGGGCCACTGCCAGAACGCTTCCTCAGCAATGTCCTACTGCTGTGAGAGTGCTTAGATCTCATGCACTAAAAATTATTCTCAGCATTACATTTATAAACTGTACTGTGTGGGGAAAAGATTTCTGAGTGTGGCCAGCTGCCTTCAGGCTGTTGGCGCTCTAAGGGCTGTCATTGTGTTCAGTAGAAGGTAATGAAACAGCTGGATGTGGTGGTACACACCTGTCATCACAGCACTCGAGAGGCTGAGGCAGGATTGGCATGAGTTCAAAACCAGCCTGGACTACATAGCGAGACCCTGACTCAACAAAAAACAAACACACGCAAAAAAGGACAGAGCCGTGGTGGCGCACGCCTGTACTCCCAGCACTCTGGAGGCTGAGGCAGGAGGATCGTTGCGAGTTCAAGACCAATCTGGGCTACAAAGTGAAGGTCAAGCCCAGCCAGACCTGCACAGCAGATCCTATCCCAAAAAGATAAAAAAAAAAAAAAAAAAAAAGGGATAGGGGTGATGAAACGCATGGCAGCCGCTGTGCCGACTTTTAAGGTGGAATGTTCTGTTTCTGAAAACATAACTTGTTTTTTTCTCTCAGGTTTTGTTGTACGACCTTCGATCCAGTAAACCACTGCTCGTTAAGGACCACCAGTATGGGCTGCCTGTTAAGTCCATCCACTTCCAGGACACACTAGATTTGATTTTGTCAGCAGACTCTCGCATCATCAAAATGTGGAATAAGAACTCAGTAGGTACCTTTTGTTGAAATTACTTCCTTTTCATTGACGTGTTCCTGACATCCCCTTTCTGTGTGCTTGTGAGTGCGGTGTTCTGTGGGTTCTTAAGAAAGACAACTGTGTGTCTACTTAGGAGTTAGAGGAGGAAGTTAGCTGTTCAGAATAGAAAACATTTACGGAGTCAAGATGGAGTCCCCTGTTCCGAGGTTTTGTGCTTTGCTAACATTAGCTTGCAGTTTGGATGCTGAGTCAGGTAGAGAGAAAATCATTGTTTTAAAAGTCTGCCCCTGGGCTGGGCATTGTGGCACATGTGACACATGCATGTTATCGCGGCACTCAGGAGGCTGAGGCAGGAGGATTGCAAGTTTGAGGCCAGGATGGGCTACAGAGCAAGACCCTGTTTCAAAAAAAGTCCATCTTTGAGGAGCCCCCATCCCTTTGAGAGCTTGGGGCTCTCCCAGCCCTAAGAAAGTCTCTAGGAGCTATGGACTCACATCCACGTCCATCTCTTCCCCGCGCCAAGAAGTGGATTTTAGAGACCACAGCATTGTGGTAATTTCTCACACTAGCCCGGCGCCGTGGCGCAAGCCTGCCGTCCCAGTACTAGGGAGACTGAGGCAGGAGGATCACCACAAATTGCTAGCCTGGCCTACATAGTGAGTTCAAGGCCAGCCTGAACTATACAGTGAAATCCTGTCTCAAAGAAATAAATTAATAAATATGAAAACAGTGTTTTATTGTTAAGTTCCCTCCCCTTGACCTGGCATTTAAAAAATAACAAAATCTTGTATTTCTGGTTTTAATTCACCTGCTTTGCATTTTTCTGTTCTGCAACTTAAATAATTTGAGAGAATACTTCATCAAGTAAATTGGAAAAATGCATCCAGTAAAGCAGTTGCTTTTAAGAATTGTTTACCTTTAATTAGAAACAGCATCTTTTATTTTGATGAGATGAGGTCTCACTATGCAGTTCAGGCTGGCCTTGAACTCACCATGTAGTCCATGCTGGCTTCCAACTCTCTGCAATCCTCCTGCCTCAGCCTCCTGCATGCTGGGATGCCAGGCAATAACTGGTATCCTTTCTTTTTTTTCTTTTGTCCCATGCTCCTCCAGTCTCTGGGGAAGGTAGGAAGACAGGATGGGGGCTGCATGACTCCGCATGGGACGGGAGCTGGGCTGTGGTTTCCCGGGGCATGCAGCTCCCTTGGTCCCAGGCTTGGTTCCCTGCTCCCCTCTGCCCGGAGCTCACCGCAGCTTCCGGTGATGACATCCAGCTGCAGGAGCTGGCGGCTCTTGTTCAGTGTGGCTGCTTAGAAACCTCATGTTTGGGTTGTTACAATTCAATTTGCCCTTTTTTGTTTCTTATGACTAAATACTTCCTCTGACGCCCACGTTACTCAGTTTGGCAGGACTTGTTCTCTTGCGTGCCTTGTTTATCTTTCTCACCCCGTTTCTCTATCCACCCCATCCCTTTTTCTTTTCAGACGAGTCCAGGCTGGCCTTGCACTTGCTCTGTAACGCAGGTTGGCCTAGAACTCACGATCCTCCTGCCTCGCCACCTCCTGAGTGCTGCGATCGCCCCGCCTTGCACCCACCTTCCTCTTTCCTGCCCCTTCCCTTGATCTTCCGCATTCGATTGTGCTCCCCCACCTGGAACGGCCGTGCTTGGTCCTCGCTGCGTGCTGGGCGCCAGCCGTGCCTGTCCGGTCACCACCTGCATCCCGCGTGCTTTCTTGTGGCTCCTGCTACCCGGTGCTGCCCAGGTGTGGCCTGGCCCGGTGTCCCTTGCTGGCCGTCACTCCTTGAGACCCTCTGAGCAGAGTCAGCTCAGGCCCTAGGCACACAGCCACCTTAGCAAGGCTGACTGGAAACGCGTTCTAACCTCCCCTTTTCTACCTGCGGGCCTCGTTTTTCAAACCGTGGGGCTTCCCTCCTTGGACAGATCACCTGTGCTCTGGGCGTCAGTGTCTTCACCTCCAGACTGAGAGCACTGAGCACTCACAGTGCACATTCTCCAAAGGATTTTCAGTTCTTTTTTTTTTTGACACAGGGCCTCGATCTGTAGTTCAGGCTGGCCTTGAGTTTACTGTGTAGCCCAGGCTGGCCTGGAACTCAAGGCGATCCTCCTGCCTCTGTCTCCCAAGTACCACTACACCCAGCTTCAGTTCTAAATTCCACAATCAGGCTGTCTTCTCTGTGCAGTGGACAGCGGAGGCCTGTCTGTAGTCTCCTTAGGTCATGTTGCCAAAAGTTTGCTTTCTTTAGCCATCTTAATCACTTATTTCTGCTTCCTATTTTAGGGGAAAATATTTACTTCCTTGGAGCCAGAACACGACCTCAATGATGTCTGCCTCTACCCCGGCTCAGGTATGCGCCTTGCGGCCAGCAGTGTCACACTCGCCGCAGGTCTGGGTTTTGAGCTATGTCGGCCCCTTGGCCGGGTTCAGCCTGGTGCAGACAGTGCTTGGTGTCCCCGCCAAGCTGGAGCTCATGGCAGGAAGTGGCCCTGCTGACTCGGCCGCGCTGGAGCCATGGATGCTTGCAGGTGGTGGCAGGTACAGTGCCACGGCGGTGGCGTGCGATGGCGCTTTCTTGCGATTAGTGAGTGCGCATGGAAATCAGGTCGGGTTTGGGTTACGGTAGCCCCCTGCACAGATAACAAACAGGCACCTCATGGAACCCTGGGTTTTGTATACCGTTCAGCAAGGCGTGGGGCAGATTTCGGAATGCAGAGTGAATTCAGGGTGAGACACAAGGGGGTCAGGCATGGGCAGGGTCCCAAGAGGGCCCGGGCTCAGCCTGCGAGCTACAGTGCACTGCCACGCATCCGTGCAGCAAGTGGGGCCTTCAGGGGCTGTGCCCCGAGACTGAGCCAGGTAGGGGGGCCGGGTGGAGACCCCAGAACTGAGGGCCAGGGGTGGGCTTGAGAGGGCCTGAAGGGATTCTCTGAGTCGTGCCAGGGGCCAAGGCCGGTGTCAGTGGGGCATGTTGCTGAGGGTCCCAGGAGTGGAAGAGATGGCAGCGGCAGGGACAGCCGACAGGTCTGGCCAGCATCCAAGCCTCCCTGTGGCAGCTGAGGAGGCGCAGAGTCCTGACCACCCCTTTACTCGACGTGGAGAGCGCTAGCAGGGTGCAGGGGTGAGACCCAGGAAGAGGGCCCGAGAGGAAGGGCTGCATGGGTGACAGATAGGAGCGTGGGGCAGGTGGGGTCAGCTAAAAACTCCTTGGAGCGGCAGGGCACAGGGAACCTTAGAGGAGGCGTGAGCAGCCTGCAGCAAAAGAACCAGCAGGGACTGCGTGCCATGGCAGTGCCAGGCTGCTGCCCCTGTGGGAGCTCATGACTGCTGGTGCAGTGGTACACAGCTGTGATCCCTACTACTCGGAAGGCTGAGGCAGGAGGGTCGTTATTTGGACACTAGCTTGGGCAACATAGTTAAGAGACCTTGTTTCAAAAAAAGTATAAAGAGCTGGGCGTGTAACTCAGGGTCCCTTGGCTTTAACCCCCAGTGTAGCAAAAACAAATTTTTTTGAGACAGGGTCTTGCTGTGCAGTTGAGGCTGGCCTTGAGCTCACTATGTAGCCCAGGCTAGCCTGGAACTTGTGGCAGTCCTGCCTCAGTCTCCCGCGTGCTGGGATTACAGGTGTGTGCCACCACACTCAGCCTGAATTCATGTTTTGAAGGATTTGTTGAGCTTCAGCCTGGTCTCCATTCCCAGGGCTGCTGGTCACCGTGGACCACACCCCTCAGGCACTTACGTGGGGAAGCGAGTGGCAGAGGGCACCTTTCCTCCCACGCTTACTTCTCTCCTTGTGCTTGCTTGTAGGAATGCTCCTCACGGCCAATGAGGCCCCCAAGATGGGCATCTATTACATCCCGGTAAGCAATGCCAGGGCCGGGCAGTGTGGGCACACAGGGCCAGCGCAGCTGCCCATGGTGAGAATGGGTGAAGCTGCTGAGGGGGTTTGCTTCTGGCGAAGCAACAGCTAAACTTCCTCTTCTGAGTAATCTTGGACACATTAAATCGACCTTAGGAACTGATGTTTATGTTTAGATTTTCACTGTTTCTTTTGCTGTACAGCTCTATCAGAATATTAAGCTTTGAGCTATTGATCAAGAGGTCTCCATCTAAGCCAGGCGTGGTGGCGCACGCCTGTAATCCCAGCACTTGGAAGGCTGAGGCAGGGGGGTTACTGTGAGTTTGAGGCCAGCCTGAGCTACAAAGTGAGCTGAAGGCCAGCCTGAACTGCACAGTGAGACCCTGCCCCTAAAAGACAAAAACATAAAGTCTCGATCTAAAGAAGGGTCTAGTGATCTTGCAGTAAACTCACGTCATTCCTCAAACACTGGCTTAGGTTGATGTGGTCAGTGACACTGTGTAGTTTCCAGTTTGCCTTCAGGTTTTCCTCCTTGATGGATACACTTTACCAGAACCTCGACCTGAGCAGACACAGTGACGACGGGGTGGGGGGCGGGGGGGGTGTGCTGGGGAGCGACACGAGTTTGCCTGGTGACCGCTTGCGGCTCCAGATTGGTGCTCCGCAGCGTGGGGTCCCGGGCTCTCGTAACGGGTGGAGGCAGCCGGGCATCTGTCCATGAAGCCTGGGCTTCTCCTTTCTACCTGGCTTCACCTCATCCTGCCCCCACATTCCTGTTGTATCTATTCACGGCAGTCCTTAACCTTCCCTTCCTCCCCTTCCACTCTCATCCTGGCTTTGAACCCAAGGCCTCGAGCGTGCTGTATGCACCGCGCCGTGGGCCGCACCCTTGCTGGCAGCCTGGGCACACTGGGCATGTGCTCTGCCGTTTTTCCATCTGGAGCCAAGGTCTCTTGCTAGGCTGCCCAGGCCAGCCTTGCCCGTGCTATCCTCGCGCCTCAGCCTCCATGTCGCTGGGATGTCAGGAGGCCCACAGGCTCACCGAGGTGAGTTTGTATCCGTTGCGTACGTCAGCTGCGTCTCAGCACGGTGCCGTGGGGATGGAAACGAACGGGCGCTCCCTGCTCAGTGTCTGTGGGGAAGTGAGGGGACTGGGGGCCTTTCAGCCAGCAAGCACCTGCTTGGCTAGGAGTGCTGGGGCCGAGGTGGGACCCCGGGTGGCGCTGGATTGGCTGCTCGAAGGGTAGCAGGGCCTGGCAAAGGGGATGGTGTTGGCCTGCGGAGTGGGAGTCCCTCCCAGTGACTGGGGGAAGGGTCCCACGGGATGCAGTGGGCTGGGGAACAGGAGTCTGTCTGGTGAGCGGCAGGGTAGGATTTGAACTCTGGCTGCCGGGGGTGAAGGGGTGGGCTGAGCACTGAGCTGGACACAGTGAGGTGGGCGTCGGCAGACCACAGGAAGACAGGGTCTGCCCTGTGCTGGGCCTGCGCACCCCCGCATCCACCAGGTTGAGGATTGAGGCTGGGGCCTTAGCAATTTTGTAAAAATGTTATTTAAAATTTTATTCATTTAGTCATGTATTTTGTGGGTCTTTGTACTGAGCTACATCCCCTGCCCTTTTTCATTTTGGGGGGTGCAAGGTACCAGGAATCTAACTCAGGACCTCACACTTGCCAGCCAGGTGCTCTGTGGCACTGAGCTAAATCCCCAGTACCCTTTTTTATTTTTTGAGGTAAGATGTCGCTAAAATGCCCAGGCTGGGCTCAGTTTGCCATCCTTCTGCCCCAGCCTCCCAGAGTGCGGGGACAGCAGGTGCGCACTGCTGCACTCAGCTGAGACGTCCGGGGTGCGGAGAGGCTGAGGCCGTGTAGGCTGTGTGTGGCGCCTCCGGGGCTGGTCGCGGGTGTGCGCAGAGGAAGAAGGTGCAGGTTGGAAGCTGGAAGCCAGCACTATGAGGAGGGGCGGGCCACCTCTCAGGACCCTTGTGGGGTGCAGGTGGAGTGTGGGTGTCCGAGGCTGGTGGGTGTGGCTGGTGGCAGCTGGAGATGCCCGCTTTGGGGCTTCGGGGCAGACATGATCAGCCAGCTGACATGTGCTTGTGAAATTAGACTTATGTACAAGTTTGTGCCCTGCTCTCATCACTTACCTTAGAGCTGCTGGTCGCAGGGTGCCGAGGTGACCTGCCCAGTCTTTGGGCATCACACTTGCATTTTACGCCTGGCGTCAGACTGGCGAGTGCAGCTCAGCTTAGGAGGCTGTGGTTGACCTCTGCTGTCCACACCCGGTCCTGCCTGGGGTGGGTTCTGGCTCTGAGCAACGGGAACTCAGCATGAGCCGAGGGCCCGACGGCTGCTCTGGCCCCGGAAGAGGGTGTTCCAAAGGCACCGTCAGGACCGGCTGTGATCAGAGTTCGATTGCTCAAAGCTGCTCACTGGGTGAGAGGTTAAACCAGAGAAATCCAGCCTCATAAACGTCAGACACAAAGGCTGGAGCAGAAGTGGGGAGATTCGCAACCAGCCCGAGAGCTCGGAATGGGGGAGACGGGTTTCCCGAGGGTGACAGGCAGCAGTCCCTCCTGTGAATGAGGAGGAGGGGGATCGCGGGGTGTCCCGGGCACTCACCCTCGGTGACAAGGGCTCTGCGTGGTCATGCATTGGCGACAGCTCAGAAAAGAGCTCAGGAATGGGGTTAGCAGGGCCTGAAGGAAAATGAGATAGACTCACACAGGAGGGGACTGTGTGGGAGACGGACGCGCGGGCCCAGCCTCAAGCAGGCTTGGTCATTGCAGCGACAGGAAGGACCATGGCCCCGGAGGAAGCACGAGCTGCTCAGGGCCGCCTGGAGGAAGACAGGGCAGATGTGCTCGAAAAACAGGATTCACTTGAAAGTACGCACAGAGAGGCCTATTTTTAGATACCTTGAGTCATGATAATTTGAGGCAAGCGTGTGCTTAATTTATGTTCCAAGGAAGGCAGTTTGCAGATAAAGTGGAGCCTGGCGGGGAGGTGGGGGAAGAGTAGGCATTTCATGTCCTCCTTGTGAAGGACAGTGTGGGACGTGTACGCGCCAAGCACCCGGGTTCGTGGCAGAGGTTAGAGTCCGGGCTCGGCATCTCTGCATCACTTCCAGATTAATGAAAAGGGAGATGTGTTCCTTTGTAGCCCTTTTCCATAGTAACCAGGCTTACTGCAAAGCTGTTGTAATTGAGTTTTATCGTAGGTGTGAAACTGCTTTATAGGGCAGTGGTGGTGGTCGTAGGTTTTCTGTTGTAGATACTCATAACTGTGAACAGCATGAGAGGCTGGACAGTGTGGCACAACCCTGGAATCCCAGCACTCAGGAGGCTGAGGCAGGAGGCTTGCTGTGAGTTCAAGGCCAGCCTGAGCTACATAGCAAGACCCTGTCTCAAAAAACAAAAGAAAGGGGACACAGAGCGCAAGTATCAGGTGGCCGACACACTCTGTTTTAACACAAACAAGTTGTTTGGGACGTCACAAAGGGGAAATGGGGGCTTCCCACCTTAATCTCAGCGCGTTCAGGCACTAACAGTATCTGTGGCATTTTTCTCAACAAAGGAAATCCTCTCCATTTCCCTTCGTTTATTGGGCACAAGAATAGCAGACATACGGAGACCACTAATGTGTGAAAATCAGGAAGTCATCTTCCGAGTTTCCTGTCACATCTTCAGAGTTAATTTCAGTTATGATTGGGTCAAGCATCATGTGATTTCCATATGGAAATATCTGACGCACAAATGGCATATTTGCTATTGTGTTAACTTGGTGGTGGGCTTGTTTGTTGGTGTTTTCTCTTTTGGTTTTTTGAGAAGGGGTATTGCCGTGTAGTTCTGGCCGGCCTTGAACTCGCTGTGTCCGCCCGAGGTGGGGAGGCGCCAAGGAGCCAGGTTGCTGGTTTGTGTGTCGACTGAGGCTTTGGCTTCCTGAGAAGGTGTGCAGCTGCGTTCCCGAGTGCCCGGCCCTGGCCTGCTGCTCCAAAGTCTGTGGTGCTTGGAGCCATCCTCCTCTTCCATCCGTTGAAGCCTCCTCCTGTCGGGGCTGTGGGGCGTCGGGGCGTCTTCTTGCTTTGATCCATGTTGCCCATGAAGAAAATGCCCCACTGCAGTCTCCTCTGCAGGCTGGGCTAGATAGCCACGCCAGCTGCTGGCGTAGCCTCCACGTGGTGGGGTCGGTTTTTGCGGGTGCACAATAGCATCTTCCCCCCCGCTGGCCCTAGGGCCTGAGTATCAGGCGCTCTGAGCGCGGCACCCCACTGTCTCTGCTCCTGGAGTCTGGCACCGCAGCAGGCAGTACAGGTGCCCAGGGCCTTTCAGGAGTGCAGAGGAGCCAGCTTCCCACAAGCAGGGGGTCTGTGGAGGCCCAAAGGTCGCCTGGGTTTTACAGGGCAGGAAGAGGGTGACGGATCGGAGACCGCTCTGTGCCCAGGCATCTGAGTGACTGCGAGCCCCTGTCCGCCTGGCTGCGGGGGAGTTCAGTAGTGGTGAGGAGCGGGTGGTCAGACCGGAGGTGGCAGGGCCTACATCTGTACCGTTTACTCTGAGTCAAAGCTTTTGCCTGAAGTAGTGTGACATTCCTTTGAGGGATTTATTCCGGGGAGGGGATCAGACGTGTGTGTCACATGCCTTTGCCTGCAGGGGAGCTCTGGAGGTGGGTGGGACGCACGGCGATTGGTGGGCAGGACAGTGGGGTGGCGGGGAAGAGATGGCCGGCAGGGCACTCGGGGCTCACAGACGGGTTCAGTGACTCACGGGGAGCGGTTGTGGGAGAGGCAGGGCAGGGGGCTGAATGCGTCGGGCACCACCTACCAGGTGAAGGTGGAGCAGGTGCAGAATCCAGCTTTGGAAGTGGTGAGTTGTCCAGAATCGCGCTCTCCCACGGGTGGAGTTAATAAGCTACTTCCTGGGAGGGGTTTTTACCATTTTTCTGGTTCATCTCCCCAGAAAGGACTAAAGGTTGTGAGTTAGGTTTTTTTGCTTTTCTGGAGAA